TATGTTAATATACTTCTTCTTTAATTAAATTCTAAAAGTTTTACTAGACGCATCACTATTCAACCGCTTCATCTACAAGTATGTATCAATGGGTGTGTATAGAACATTTGCTTACGTTTCGCATAATGGGCAATGAGAGATACGCGCGCTCTATAGCATATGTATAATCTAAGGCCCTGCCGCACTAAGAAATACTTTTCAACGACAGCACTCACTAGTGGCGCTAACTGGTGCCATCAGAAACGATAACCCTCATTGCTTCTTTTTGGGTCAAGCACGAGTTCTAGGCACATTTGCCTTGCAATCAATTTCAGAATTAGCTTCTGTCTTGGGCGTCTTGAAGTATTTAAGTAAAATATTTAATTTAACCTTAATTTTTAAATAAATCTTTGGTATTTTTAAACGGTTTTATTTAGCTTGCCCAGTTTGTTGGGTCAAATTTAGAAATTAAAATTTTACCCCTTTCCTGTTGACAGATTGATCTGATATTTGTTCTGATGACAATACAAAATGTATTCATTAACATTGCAAATTCAAGATGGCTGCTGCCACAAAATGGCGTATTACATATTTTTTCACAACCCCCCACAATATTTCTATCATAGATAGGGCTTGATTATTAGAACACAATGCATGGTGGATCAAAGAGTTTAATCAGTTAAAAAAACCTAAAAAATTGAAAATAAAATAAGAATATTTTTTTAAGTTATACGGAAATGGAAAAGAAAGATAATAATGATGTGTATGATAATGTACTTAAAGCTAAAAAATATGAGTTAGATAAAACACTTTGAATGGGGAAGAAGTTTGCCTTTTTCTCCCGCCAGATCTCGCGATCTCTATAGCCCTCAGTACCTATATTGTTACTATAGCGTGGATGGATTTTTTTCATTTTATTGAAAATTAAAATGATAAATTGTGCAGTACCAGGATGCAAAGAAAATGAATATTATCTGTTCCCAAAACAGAAAAACTAAAAAAATAGAGGGTTACAGCAATAAAATGACCAAAATTGGCGATGTCACAATCTTTATATTTAAGGCTACATAGCCTTTCATTTTAAAGAAAGTAATTTTAAAACTCTTAAATCGTCTACAGGTAAATATTATTATTTGTATTTTTTGTACTTTTTACATATTAATTACAGAATTTCATATAAGCTTTCATCCCCCATTTTAAGCCCTTATGGGATTTTATTTCGAAAAATGCTATAACACGTATCTATTTATTTAACTGTATTGAAGAGCATTAATAAAAGTAGCAAGTAATTCTGACCATAAATAACTCTTTGCCGATATAAACTTTATTACCCCCTTTTACTCCTTTGAGGGATGAATTTCGAAAAAAATGAAATAAATATATTTCTTAGTTTTATCTCAAAGGTAAATACCACTTTCTGTGTATTGCACATTAATAGTTTCACACAGTCTTTAATCCCCTATTTTACCCACTTAGGGGATGAATTTCGAAAAATCCTTTCTTATCGAATGCCTACATCACATAAGGTATACGTTTTCCAAATTTCACGTTTCTACGACCAGCGGTTTAGGCTGTGTGTTGATCTATCAATCAATCAGGACCACCGCAGGATGCACCTCTCCTTCTCAATTCTTGCTTCAGCTGATCTAACTTCCAGGTACAATACATTGCACAAGTAAGATACGAACACAATAGAACAAAAACCAGGTATCAAATCAATCAAATGAAAATATTTTATTCAGCATTAAATTATTACAATTTTTTTACTGAACGTCATGAGTCTACTACCAGTTCGAAAAGAAGAAGCCTCAGACCTGAGAAGAACTGGCGAAAGAAACTCAGCGGGACCAGTTTTAAATTATCTTTTTTTTTAAAGATTATAATTCACAATCTTTCTATCAAGTTGAAGTAGCCTGGAGGCTATCATTTCATTCCCAAGGTGTGCCATCTTCTATAAAATCATTTATTGTATAATAGCCTTTAGCACACAAATGTTCTTTAACATTTTTTTTAATCTGGCGATAGAAGCCTTTTGAACGTTTTCTGGGATCCTGTTGTACAAGCGTATGCATTGTCCATAAAAAGAATTACTCTTTTAAGAACTCTGTGTAGACGAGTCACAGGCATTACAAGTTTGTGTTTGCTCCTAGTATTAATGTTATGCATGTCACACTTCTTGGGAAATTCGTGTATATTTTTACGGACATACATAACATTTTCGTACACGTACTGAGAAGCAACAGTCAATATTTTTATTTCTCTAAACTTATCTCTTAATGACACTTTAGGACCTAAACTATAAATTGCACGAATAGCTCTTTTCTGCAGGACAAAAATCGTATTAATAGCAGCTGCATTTCCCCATAGTAAGATACCATAGGACATAATACTATGAAAATAACTAAAATATACTATGCGAGCTGTATCTACATCAGTAAGAAGTCTTATTTTTTTTACCGCGAACGCTGCAGAGCTGAGTCTACTCGCTAGCCCCTCAATATGGGGGCCCCACTGCAATTTCGAATCTATGATAATACCTAGGAATTCTGTGGACTCTACAGGTTTTAACACTTCGCCATTTAATATTACACCATTATCAACAAGTTTGACATTAGGTGTAGAGATTTTTGTTCATTTTGTCTTTTTATTATTTAATAATAAATTATTTGAATCAAACCAATAGACAACCTTTGAGAAAGCATCGTTTACATCGTCGTACATTAGCGAATTGCGCTTCACTTTAAAAATAAGTGAAGTGTCATCAGCGAACAATACTATCTCATGTTTGTCCTGTACAAAAAATGGCAGATCATTAATACAAATTAGAAAAAGAAAGGCGCTAAGAATAGACCCTTGTGGAACCCCTATATCTAATGGAGCTGCAGGAGATCTCTTACCATTTACATCAACCCTCTGTATTCTATTTTTTAAATACGAATTCAGAAGGTCGAGTGCCTTATTTCTAATACCATAGTGATGCAGTTTCCTGATCAACGTCTCATGATGTACATAATCAAAGGCCTTCGATAAGTCACAGAATATCCTAAGTGCATCTTGTGACCTTTCCCAAGCCTCAAAAATATTTTTCACTAGCTCAAAACTAGCATCTGCCGTGAAACGGCCTTTCGTAAATCCAAATTGTTTCTTGAAGTAGATTGTGTGCATTGAAATGCGTTAACATTTGCGCGAGTATGATTTTTTCAAAAATTTTACTAAACGTAGGCAGTACCGAAATTGGTCTAAAATTATTAGGGTCTAAGGTACTACTTGATTTAAAAATAGGAATAATTTTACTGTGTTTCAATAGATCAGGAAACGCACCACACTCTATACTGCTATTTCATACAGTAGCTAAAGGAGGTGCAACAACATCAATTAGCGAACTAACAACTTTTACAGATGTACCCCATAGGTCAGCGGTTTTCTTGACATCCAAACTTTTGAAGGCTGAGATGATATCTTTGGGGTAAGTATACATTTTTAAATTTAAATACTTAATTCTTTAACGTGTTCCTCGAATAAAGATGCGGCAATGGCGGGAGATGAATTGAGTGATTGCGTTGTCGAAATTTGAATGTCAGTGAAAAATTTTTCAAACTCAGATACAACTTCTAGGTTTGAAGTAATAAAATTATTGTTGATATTCAACTTAAAATCGAAGCTGCGATCTGTGACTCTTCCACTTTCACAAGCAATTATGTTCCAATAAAATATAAAAAGTCCCAATAAAGTATAAAAGAGATATCACAATAAATGCCCCTCTGTTCAACCACAAAATTGACCAAGAATGGTTAGAAACCCACGTTCCGGACTTCATCAGAGCTAAAGACTGGCCGTCATCTAGTCCCGATATTAATCGGCTGGATTATGATTTATGGTTGTTGGTTAAACAATACTTATACATAATACCTATAGTAAATTGTAGGTCTTAAAAAGACCTAAAAAAAGGTCTGCGATAACATGTGTCTATCTCCTTAGGTACACTCACAATAACTATTTTTGTCTATTTAAAATATATCCGAGCAAAGTAAGGTTAAGTCGCTAGTACATTATATAGTAAAGTAAATAGACCTCAAAACAATAGATGCTGACATTTTTGTCTGTTTGTCTGTTTGCTTTTCACGCAAAAAGTACTTAACAGTTATTAACTAATCTTGTGTAGTGATAACTTATTACTCGAGTCAAAATTTAGGATACTTTTTGCTACAAGACAATTTCTCATCCTTAGGGGGAACGGGAATTATTAACATATTTAACAATTTAACGGTAATTTATTTGCGGTAATTTTTTTTGTGGGAAAATAGTAAATTTATGTCGCACTAAAAGAAACAAACTATTATCGATATTAAATATTTTATTAAAATTAATACCTCTAATATTTATAATTTATAAAATAATGATTCATATTTAAAAAATTTTTTTAAAAACGACTTTAATTTAATATTAATCACAGAACACTTGTCATAACATCATTATATCAATTTGTTATTTATACTGTATAATATTATGTTTATGCTATTATGGCTAGAAGAAAAGGCAAGAAAAATAAATACTGAATATTTATTTTTTTCCAACTTACTACTATAGGCTTTTAGACAATAGTTTTTTTGTATAAATCTTGGAACGTTTCTATAGCTAATTTTTTTTCGAATTAAGGTATACAAAAGCTTAGACTATACATATAGCATATGTATGCTCTATGTACAAAAGTTTCCAATAACTTTAGATCTCCCCTTGAACACATGAAAATAAAAAAAAAACTCTTATCGAATTAACATACATAATTTTGAGTAGGTTCTTGTTTTTTCGTTGATTGTTTATCTCAGACCAAATAAAAAAGTTACAAAGTACCTTTATATTTGGTCAGAGTTGTTTATATACCTCTATTCAACAATTAATATGCTAATATATTTACATAACATACCTAAAGCTGTGGTCTTTTTATTAGGCTAAGTCACTTTAGTTAAAATCAAAAGTTAAATGGAAAATTACAAACATAATACTAATTAGCATTCCAATTAAAAGGTAGTGCTGTCACCTTCAAATGATGGATTTATTGTACCTTTTAAATGTCTCATATTTGATTCTTCCACTTTCTGCTTCTTCTGTAAAGAAAAGAGATTGTTAGGTAACAGCTACGAACTAAAAAATACGATCTATTTATATTAAAGTCATATATTTGTGATCACTTAGTTTTTAAAAGCATTTTATATTATCTGTGATTTGGACACAACAAAAAATTTCGTGTCGTACGAAATTTACACAAACCTGGAAACGGTAAACTTCGTTAGTCAAACGTTTAACACCAGAAAAATGATTTTCAATGTCATTTAATCTTTTTCCTTCAGTTTCTGGCAATATGAAGTAAAAAACTACGCATCCAGTTAAACTGTAAATAAGAATTGGTTAGTGGTTAAACATTCTGAGGATTTACTTAATAATTATAATAAACTTAATAATTAAGCTTTATACATATTTTACTAATTAAGAAAAATAAAATAGGAAATGTTGAAGATACATAGGATACTACGAGAGTAGTTTCACAACTCAAATTACAAGTTTTTGTTGCTTTATGTTTATATCACGATGTCCTGATATTATAGTGCAAGAGTTTACGCGCAGATACCAGACGACTCTCTATTCCTTTCTCTATCAAATCCCGATGGGACGATCATTCGACATGACCGGTGACAGATCAGGCGCAACTTTACGAGGCACGCGGGTAAGGCACCGTTAACTTTCCAATTCCGAGCTGTTACTGGGACTTTTAACAGAAAGGCTTAATAACTAAACTCGGTCCGACCCGGGACTCACAGTCAGAACCTGCGAATGTGCAGCCTTACATGATAGCCTACACCCAGGCAGTAATGATGATATTTACATCCATACTAATATTATAAATGTGAAAGTGTGTTTGTTTGTTTGTTTGTTTGTTTGTTTGTTTGTTTGTTTGTTTGCTTGTTCGTCCGTTCGTTAGTTCGTTTGTTTGTCCTTCTTTCACGTCAAAAACGTACCTAGGAACGAACTTTGGTAAATAAATAGTTTGAGACCCTGGGAAGGAAATAAATTTAATTTCTGACCCCTGAATTCAAAGTATCATATTTGGATATATGGACATTTGTTTTAGTTGAATGAACATCACTATACCATATTATCCCATAGAAGCCATATGTTCCACATATAGAAAGGGTATCCACCATGCTGATGTAGATTTTATTTGTAAGAAAACCAAATATATATCCAATAGCGCTAGCCAAGCCAGCTGCTCCAGATCTGGTTTTTGCGCTAAAAACCTAAAAATTACAAATAAAAATTGAATACATATTTAATTTATGACCTTTTTATAAAATCATGTTAAAAATTAAACATTTGTTTACTTTTATTAGCATATCAAATTAGATATTGAATAAATAATTCCAAATTGTAATCTGTGTAAACAAAAATAATAAAATTGATCAGCAAATAATGTCTTAAGGGAGTTGAGACAAGTTGTCGGCAAAATCGTAGGTAAGATTTAAATTTTTGCAGGGTATACAATTAATCATACTTAGCTAACTAACTTTAATTCTACACCAAAAATAATAATAGATTGTAACATATAGATAGCACTGCGAGTGGCGGGAATTTCCGGATTAAGAAAAGGCTATAAACGAGTCTTAGTAGACAGACCTAAGAACAGTCTCCCTGTGGGTAACGGCTGTACACTACTCTGGATCTTTTTTTCCTTTTTGGTCACGGATTCTTAAAAATAATATTATAGATTACCGTTGTTTTTGTTTGATAGCGGCGTAAAGATAGACAAGATTTAATCGAATCACCTAATTATTATTATTTTTAACTAGGTATATGATGCTTAACATTATATGCTGATTGCAGGTGTACTATAATCAAGAATATTTACTTCTCCAATTAAAATCCAAGGCAGAAGTCTTATTCCAACGTGGGTGACGAGAGCTAGCAACATTAATAATGTTGTCGGGATCCAGGCGTAAGGGTTATTCTAAAATATTAATAATAATTAAAGATTTTACATTGTACCTAGAATTCTAGTACATAATTATCGTTGTCAAGAGTTCAAATTTTTTATGCAAATAGTTAATATTTAATAATATAATATATAAATATTAGATATTAATTGCACCTATGTTTAATATAGGTATTATAAATGCAATTGTAATAATTATATAGGACATTTAGATTTTTTTCTAACTTTATAATTAAAAATATGTACATATACAAGAGACATATTACGTACCAAAACATTGTCATTAGCCCCTTCAATGGTGTCGTTTTGAAATGTTTTAATGTTCGACAGATGCTGTAAATGGATGATAAGATATTGATAACTTATCCTAGTTAGGTTCTAAGTTAAATGTATTCATTTCAAATTAGAAAAAAAAAATTTATAAATAAAATAATTAATTAATAATAATCAATAGTATTTACAGTTTTAATGTAACCCTCGTAACCCGCAACCAAAAGGCAACATATTCCAGCAGCTGCAGTAGAGAAAAAAGTTAAAGGTCTCTTCCCTGTGTAATGGACCAACAGGACACAAATTCCAGAACCTAGTATTTGCACTATTCCTAGAACGAGTGTAGCATAATATTTATCTATCGGCGCCTGAAGCATCTGGAATATTGACACTGCGTACGTCTGCAATTGAAAAGACGGCATTATCACAGATCGTATAATACTATTTATATATAAGATTCTTTCCTAAAGAATACCTATAGTTTACAGGTTTAATGTTTTTACTTTAGATACAATCTTCATCAATCTTGTGAAAATTTTGTGTTCTTTTAGAATCAACAAAACTTCTCATTTGTCTATTTTTATTAAAATAATACTAAAAAGGTAATTTATAGACCTTCATACATAAACTTAATTAACTTGGAAATCTCAAACAACAATTTTGAGTAAAACCTTTGGTATTTAATTTTAACAAGTAAGAAAATGTAAAACCTGTAATGTAGTCATTCCACTAAAGTGACCAACAAAGAAACTATATGAGACTAGAAAATAGGGCACCAAAAAACTCCTGTCAAGATAAACTGATATTTTTTCCCAGAACGTTTCATCTTGATCTGACGTTGCTTCTGTAACAAAGTATTTATTACTCACATCGCCTGCTTCAATATGCATAACTTTGAAAACACTAAAAAATATCAAATCAAATGAGTAAGAAGTATAAGGTAATTATATAAATCATACCTTTCTTGCGTTTATATAACGCCTGTATATCTTTTAATTCATTTTCAACTGCTTGCGAGCTAGTCCAGCCTCGAAGCCATTGCAAACTCTAAAACAAAATTAATGTAAAAATCTTTACTATAATACTGAAAATGAATTTCAAGCAGTTAAAATACTAGGATATTTAGTTATATTAACCTTCCTTGCTTCGTCATATCGTTTTCTACAAACAAGCCAATGTGGCGATTCAGGGACAAAACAAAGCGCAACAACTGAAAGTATCTGAAAATTAATATAAATTTCAATATCAATTAACACATATGTATATATAAAAAAATATATGCTGTTATGCGGTTAGTGTATCACTTGAAAACGTCTAGATCAATTTGGTAATGTTTTTAAAAACTATTTGTAATAGACCGACGAAAAGGTTGTTAGAAAAAAATATTGGAAAAGCTGGCATTATTTGGAAATCCAGGAAAAATTGTAATCGCGTTTTATGCAGAGTTTTTATCAGAACTACCAAAATGAAAATACCAAATTTAAAATTATTGAAATTCTGACCGAGCAACGTCGGGTCGGGTTAATTAAATAATTGTAATAGCTTAATCAACAATTATAATAAAAATTTAGTAAGACATAATATAACTTTACCTTACTTTCAAAGAAACTTTCTTTAACTTTCGACTTTCGTTAACTTGTTTTCATCTTTTTAGTTAGCTTTTTACGCAGTCGGGTGTATTTAATTTTTTTTCTCATAAAAAATATCTTTGATTTATGATAGGCAATTTTATCGTGAAAAATTTTAATTTTATAATGTATCTATTTAATAATCGGAAATATTACCGTAAATGTTATGTTAACGAGAGCCACAGTTCGCCAGTACATGAGCAAACCGAAAAGAAACTGTGTGAACACCCCTATGATGATGCACATGGAGCTGGTGGCCGTCAGCGCGCCTCGGAGGTGAGGTTGTGTAATCTCAGCCACATATGTAAGTACCTTAAAATTTAATATATTAAGTATATTTATAATGCTTACTAGTTTACTATACGGGTGTACTGATTCTGTAATACAACTTTATAGAATATAAAGATTTATAAAAACAATATATGTACATATAAGATGATAATCATTGTGTTCATATTACGTCTGTGAAATATATTTATATACCTACAGCGTCTATAATCAGTCGGTAACAGTCTATAGAAATATTTGCAGCTTTAGATAACCGTCGCATACTTTGTCATATAAATGAAGGGATTAACTGTTAAGTTTAAAGAAAATTCAAGATGCATTACAAAAGTAAATAAGATTATTTGTATGAATGACATGTTAAACGATATGACTTATCTTCAAAGAAATACACAAATATATATTTATACTTAGATTCAATTTAAAATATATTCATATTATAGCATAATAAAATACAGTAATTGTATACATTAGCCTTTTTTAAGTCTGTTCAAAATACATTAATTTAACTGAATATTTTATTTTTTATCATTTTGCAGTGACAGGCTAATTTAAATAGTGTCTACATAATGTTATCATTCCTTTTTTCAACCTAAAGTAGCATTGATACTTTACTTCTTTAGTCTACCCGTAAAAAAGATCGAACTCAAATTCATTTTTATTGCGACAAAAAAAAATTTTTCCAAGTATGACGTAATGTATGTCAGTGTTTTGCAAGGTGGATGAGTTCAAGGTGAACTTACTTACTGGTGCTTCGAGTAATCCTCCTGCTAATCCAGTAAGGAAAAGAGCACTGTAGAGGTGGCCAGTGTGGGTTGAAAAATGAAATATCAGCCAGGCTATAAAAAAGGGTAAGTTCACCATCTGCATAGCGCGCCTGCGACCCATCGGGGTAGTGACCACGCCGGACACGGCGCAACCCAACGGCACCACAATTAAATTGATTGAACCTATATACAAAAAATATTTTTATTATATATATATATATATATATATATATATATATGTGTGTGTGTGTGTGTGTGTGTATATAGCTTATTATCGTCCGGCTATCCAGCTGAGCGTGAAGCTAAGAGACACACTGAGAGGTGGCATTTACGCATAACATATATGCATAAGTGTGTATATAGGTGGTATGCGTAAATGCATTTCCCAACATTTAAAAAAGAACATTAAATGTTGTATTAAATATTTTTCATTTATGTATTTTAAAAATATCTACTTTTAAAATTAACGGAAAAAGGTAACTATCTAACACTCGTAGGTAAATTTCAAAGTTTAGAAGCACAAAATTCGGCTTTTGCTACCGAATACGTTAAAATATGATCAAATTAATTAGCTTTTTGCTTGCATGAAATTAATATATGGATCCAATCCAACAATCAACCAACATAACAACAACAACAACAAGGTTGTATAGGTAATGGCCATGAACGAAGTGGCTATTTCGATCATGGGAATGGCGTAACTAACCTTTTTTGCCCCAATGCAAAAAAATGGAAGTGTCCCCCTTTGCCTATTTCGAAAAAGAATGTGTTCCTCACTCATACAGTTTTGGAACTTCTCACTTTTTATAAGTCGCTCTCACGGAAGAACGGGTTGAATAAAGTTTAGTAAAAAAGCTGAGCTTAGAGGACCATTCATCGTTTTATAGAAAATACATAGGTGCGATCCCATTCCTCATGGTCCTCGCGAAAATTTAATACACTTCTTATAGCGATTTCTTTTTAAACTTCTTTGAGGGCGGGCCGGTCCGTCCTCAAAAAAATGTTTTTAAATAAAATAATCCTTTGTGATCCGCTGGGGCACCCTTGAATTAATGAGTACAACAGATATTTCAATGAAAACCTAAAAAATACGCCCGAAAATTAATTGAGAGCAATGGATTCCTCTATTTTTCTATTATTTGTCATTATTTGATTTACTTTAGAAATATCTCTTTTCCAACAAAGAAATAATGAAAGGTTGACGTGGTAATGAATTATATCGTGCAGAGGTCTTAGCAAATATAAGAATTTGATGATTTCATCATGGATTCTAATAACAGACATTAACCTAATATATAACTTTTTTCAAGTAATTAAAAATATTTATGTAAGAAATATTTTATAAGATCATCACAAATATACGAGATTGACCTTTTAACTTGCCTTGAAAGTATCGTTATACATATAACTTACGTACCTACATATATACCGTAACGTAACACGTACCAGTAAATCGACCATTTATGTGTCGGTACTGCGCATCGAGGGTTCCATTAATCAAACATCCATCAATCAAATATTTTCCTAGAGGTGAATCTTCAACTTTCGTTTAAGAAATAATATTTTACTTTTTCATCTCCTAAACATTGTGAGACAGTAGGTACTGAACCGATGTTAACTAAGTTTTATGTGTTGGTAACTTATTACTCAAGTTATCATTTAGGATACCTCTTATTACAGGAAAATTTTTCATTCCCACGGGAAAACAATAACTGGTTATATCGAGTTTTCTTAGAAATTTACATGTCTAACACTCGCTAAACCTCAAGAGATACATCAACACAATGTACTAGAAAATTGTAGGTCTTAACAAGGCCTATAGAAAAATCTACAATAGTATTAGTCTTTCTCCTAAGTACACTCGAAATAATTATACATATATATTTAAAACCTACCTATGGGACGCACATGAGCGAAGCGAGGGTATGTGGTGAGTTTGACTAAAAATTATTAACGAAAACTAAAAAGCTGTAGCTAAATAAATAAAAATATTTACAAAAATAAAAAAACCCGACTGCGTAAAAAGCTACCTAACTAAAAAGTTGATACAAGTTGACGAAGAAACATTTTATGCAGTCGGAGTCATACAATAGATTCGCAGCTAGTATAAAACATTTAGAATGCAAATAAATATGTCTCTGACAGTTATTTTTTTAATATTATAATTGTAAAAGTGTGTTTGTTTGTTTGTCCTTCTTTCACATCGAAACGGAGTGACGCATTGGTGTGATTTTTTGTCGTCTGGAGGTAGATGGAGTCTGGAGATGTGGATAGAGGTAGATATAAAAAAATATTTATAATCCGAATTACTTGAAACTTGGTATCCTCTTCAATATAATATGTTTATTTGTAATATTCTTTATTCCCTCTTAACTTCCAAACCACTCGATGGATTTCTTTAAAACGAGTATGATGTACCTACATCTCGCGGCAAGGATGAAACGTGCTGCATGTCTCCGACTACATAATGCTATTTTCCTTGGTGAACTTATTTCATTTTTTTAGTTAGCTTTTTTTTTAGCTTAGTTAGCTTTTAAGCAGTCGGGTTTTTTATTTTTATAATATATATTTTTTAGAGATTTCTTTGTAGTTTTAGCGCGAGCGAAGCCGCGGCTTCTAGTAATACTATGTTTCTTCGTCAAATTGTTCTCATCTTTTTAGTTCGTTTTTTATATTGTCTGTGCTCTAACGAAATGTGGCAGTATTATGTCCGTCGAAGAATATAATTGTGTTCGTTTTATGAAACAATTATTGCATCCGTATATAAAGCGGATGCGGAATGAAGGTCGATTGGATACTCGTACTGGTCGTATCTGTAAACGTCAATTCAATGCGCTTATAATGGTGACATCGATTACAATTTACAAATGCTATATGAAAGTGTAATGCTTGCTGTTGTATATTTTGAATGTAACACTTAGGTTTATTTCATAAATAAAAATTATTAAGTAGATATATATTAAATATAATGCTATCATTAGTTCTAACCAAAATAATATATAAAATACTTGCTTATCCATGATATTTCAGAGTTTTCTAAATGTAGCACTTCGCCTTCGATCGGATCTTTCACGGCTGGTATGAGGATAGTTGTGAAGCCAAGAGTCATTCCATAACCTGACAACAGTAGTTTTTTTTTATTTATTACATACATTACATAAAACATTTTATTACTTATAACTAACCAGTTTTATACCCGAGGCTACTATTGAACTTTCTCATGAACGCTTACATAATATGTGTTCTAAATTTTCCTTCATCCTACCTTCATTCACAAATTGTGTATGACAATAACAATTATTCTATAACTCTATTGATTTTTATTTTTAATATATTAAAAGTGTAACTGATCGCTATATGTACATGGAAGATATTTGAGAAAAACTATTATCGGGTCTTTATTAACGCAATAGATACGATCAATTTTATTTATCTGTATAGATATAGCAGATCTTTTACTTAGGCTTCATCATAGCCGGAAGAATGAACGTAACGCTTTACTGCGAATCTACTTAATACCTATTATAACTTTTTATCATCAATGCAAATATATATAATATATGTGTGGATAGAACACAAGATACTGATCTGGCAAACAAAACAAGTATGTAGGTACAAGTACAATGTACAAGACGGTCACCGGCAGGTATCTGAAGAATGTTAGTAAATTATAAACGCAATGAAATGGAATTATTTCTATGTTGCAGAACTCATACTACTAAATCTATTAAGATGTGAATGCACACAATTTTCGTATAAAAATATATACCTAAGTTAAAGTATATAAAGGCAAGGTCGAATTATATTTATTGTTTAAAAAAATGTTATTTAAATTGACTGTTGTTTACATTTACTAGAAGGGTCTGGATACTTACTTAATAATAAAAGGTTTTTCACACTCACAGCCAAGAGCTGTGGTAGGGCCGTTCGAAAATTTTTCTTGTAATTGTAGTCAAAAATTTGATTTTCATTTTCCTTAGCTTGAGCGGACATCTATAAATAATAATTATAATGTATTATTATGAATGATACGAATTGTTTCCCTTATTATTGAATATTATAATATTTTAGGTAACACAGTTAACCAATTACCGTTAAAGGTTTAGTTAAATGATATAGATAGAATAAAAGATATAGGTAGATATGTCCTGTTACTATGCTAAAACGACTTAATTTATTTCTAGAAAAGCATATACCTATATGTACGTTTTACGCAATCTCTTTTAAAAAAAGTTACTGTCTGTGTATGTCTGTTTCTCCGCTTACTTCTTTTAAGCCCCGCAACAGGTTTTGATATAGTTTTTCACTAAAATAACGAGGAAGGGTTGTGTATATAATTTGTAAATATTTTGTACAAAATGACTGAGCCCAGACGTCGACTGTTTTGTCAAAAAAAACTGTCTCCGTACAATCACATGGCTAAATGTTTAGAGATACCTACTTCAAAACTATGTACTCGAAAATTGTAGGTTTTAAAAAGGCCGGAATAGAATGTATGTATCCCTTAAGGTACGCTAACATAACTATTTTTATCTATATACAACGTACCTAGGAATGCACCCGATCGAAACAAGGGTAAGATGCTAGTATAATCATGACGGTGTATATTAAATACACCGTCTTAGGTCAACAGACAAATAAAATTGGCCTTTAAAATGTTGTATAAGTTATATCTCGACCGGTCATGTGATCAAAGTGTTTTTGTGGTTGTTTCGGAAATCATTTGGTGGAATTGAAATGTATATAGAATATGATAATATTTTATATTTCTGTTAACTAAATTATTAAACTTTAAGTTAGATATAATAAGAATTAAGAAATTCCAACAGGCAAATCAAATATTATTGTTAACATTAGTTAAGCATTCAGTTCGATACATAGCGAGCACCTGATATTACAAATGTTTTTTTAATATAAATACCGTTACTTACAACAATGTTTAATCTCACCTTGGCTTACATCTGGACACACCATTCTTTTACAAGTTTTCATAGTACCTAAATGCTCAAATTGAAGCTGATCTCCCTAATTTTTTATGGGATTCGGAATAATTTTAATTATTTTGCTAGAAGTATACTTATATTATACTTATAATAAATACAATATACCTATTTATATGTATATATAAATATGCTTTCGAGCTAAGATGAAGGCCACGAGTGAGCCCATTTCTAATAATAAAAATATATTCAAATCGATTCTATCTAGTATCCTATGATGTTCGCGAAGCTTGAATTCGTTTACGACTGGTCAAATCAGCAGCGTGGATAGCTTATTATCCTATTTCCGGTAATTTTATCTCTGTAGTTGTACATCCATTAGGTTGTATATTGTCCTCTCGATAGACGACCACACTTTTAACTGATATATGTAATATATATATATATATATTACAAGCATGAACGAATTAGAGACATTCGTTCATGATTACAAGACTTCCGCGATACATCCAGACAAAAAGAGACAATAGCATTCCCAAGGAGGGTCGACGTCAGACAGGCGGCCGGTCGTAAAACTATTGTCAAATCCTATCAGCAGTACCGTACCTATATAATTTCATATGCATTTCGTAAAACGCTGTTATTTGGACATTACAAGCAAACACTTCCATGTTATGTATCTTTATAGATAACTAGCATTGCACGCGGCTCCACCCGCGTTCAGATGACCAAAAATCAAATTCTTAGGTTTTACATATACATGTTAGTATACTCTTAACTCTTACATTGCAGTTTTTGTAGTTTTTCTTAGAAATGAGACATTTTCCCGCGTTAAAATGTATCCTATATGTTGACCTGGATAACCAGCTACAATCATATCAAATTTCATCAAAATCCCTCCAGTGGTTTTTCTGTGATGCGGTAACAGACAGACAGATAGACAAAAATTCTAAAAACTATAGATTTGGTCTATGTATCGATAATAATGTTTATTTAAATAAGATTTTCCAAAAAAATATTTAATGTGCAGATTCGGCTTAGTTACAATTTTATTATATGATAGATGTACAATATACTCATGTCTAGTACCTACCTGTCTATTAAATTTTAAAAGCGTGGTATTTTCTGTGATGTTTAGGTATATTTTTTTAACTGATGAATAAATTGTATACCTATGATATTTAAGCTAATACAAGTAGGTACATAAGAGTACCTGTTTAGGTATTCTAGACAGAAAGATTTAAAAATGTACTTAGATTTAAAAATTTAGGAAGACCTATTTTGTAGCAAGATCCTATTCAATTCGCTTTTTTTGATCCATTTATATTTCTACCAAACAGTTCATTGAATTTATTGGAAAAATATTAAAATGAAAAATTATATATATTCGCGAAGCTATATGTTACAGTATAGTATCAAAACTTCTATACTAGAATATCAGCTAATTGAAGCAAAAGTAAGAAAAACTGAATTTCGTTGGGATAAATCTATAAAATTAATAATTATAAATTATATTTTATTTAATGAATGTAATGGGCATCTATTAATTCATTATTTAATGAATGAAATAGGTCGTTTCTGATTACTTGTGAATGTTATCCGATCAGGGGGCACAGAAAATCAGTGAAGCATGCCTTTGTAGACATCTGTAAGTATGATTTTATAATGATTCTTGATGTACCTATTCTTTGTAGTTATAATTTTATAAATAATTACTGTAACGATTATAACATTAGGTCTTTGTACTTTTACTAACATAATTTGATATTTTAATAGCAAATATTTGTATTCGGCCATAACTCTCCTTTCGTGGTAGAAATGTCGATGTAAAGCCTTTTTCAACCGACTTCAAAAAGGAGGAGGTTCTCAATTCGACTGTATTTTTTTTATGTTTGATACCTCAGAACTCCGTCATTTATTAACCGATTTGGACAATTTTTGTGTTGTTTGAAAGTGTATACTTCCAGATTGGTCCGACTTAAATTTCAAAAAAAAAATACCACCCCTAAGGGTGGAAAAATAGCTAATGATGAATTTAACCTATTTCTAATTGTCATATTGACTTGAAACTTTGCAAGTGTTTCTATTTCCGTTGATAGTACAGTGGTTCGGTATTGTCGACCTGATCTGATGGTAAGGCCAGAAGGTGGATAGGTGGAACTCTTCAACGGCTAATAGTAGATACTTTGAGTTTGGGCTTGTTTTCTTTGATTTGACAAGCCTAATACGTTAGAATTCTTACTTTGCTACTACTGTCTACACTAAAAAGGGAAAAATAAAAACTTTTTAACAAAAAAATAAAAACTGACTTCAAACAAAAGCACTAAAAAGTAAAAAATAACTGATTGGTAGTTTTCATTTACTATACATACCTAATCAAATATTTTCGAAGTCGGTGTGCTTTGGCTAAGTAATTAAAGCCTACCTATTAAATACATACCTAATCAAATATTTTCGAAATCGGTGCCAGCCCATATAAAGCAAATGCCTAGCCTGCCTAGGGGCCCCGCATCGACCAGGGGCCCCGTGCACGCCCTAAGAAAAAAACATTCCATGGAACGATTTTTGAACGACAAAATCACATATAAAACAATAATATTGCTTAAATAAATAATTAATATTTTTAATTTTTAAATTTCTTTGTAGTTATACCTATTATAGTAATAACAACACTAAATAATATAAAGTTTTTGAAAATTGAAATATTTATAATAATAACAGCTTAAATTAAATAAATAATATTATTACTGTATTTAATTATAATATTTATTAAAAAAAAATAAAATTTTTAGAATTAAAATCAACAAATATTGTAAGGTACTCTGGTGCCATTTTTGAATTTTTGAAACCTTTTTGAAAAATTGTGGGTAGACACTGTCAGTAACAAGTATATAACGCCAGCCCTGGATTTACACTAGGGGCATTTGGGGCAGCTAAGCCCAGGGCGGCAAATTTTTAGGGGCGGCAAAATTTGGAGTGTGAGGAAAAAAATTTTTTAACTTTATGCTACGAAAATTAATTATTTTGAAAAATTAGGAAGTTATTGGTTCCTAATTGATTTTTAATAATCGCGTTCTCACTGGATCTTTACGATTTGAAATCTAGTAATACTAGAAAAAAATTACTGTATAATACAGTATTTTTTTATTAACATTTAAGTTACTTATTCAAAAAAATTAAATTATATCCTTTATAAATAAATGGTTGTTATATACTTATCCTTTAACATAATGAATACTCCCGTACAGCATGGGGGCGTAAAGATAGCACATTTGGTTTTACTAAATTCATTTTATATATTAGACCAGGGTCGATAATTTTTGAAACCAAAAAAAAAATAGTAGGATTGAAACCCATTGGAAAAGGATGAGAATATAACAAAAATGAAAGGAAAACTAATTTACGGGCGATCTGAGTTCGGGAAGTAGCAGGGGATGAGTTTTTAAGGGTAAAAACGGTTTATCTCGATTTCCGCCAAAACTACAAGTCTTATGGAAAAAAGTTAAATGGAAAATTTGTAGGTAATAAAAAGATCTACAGATATTTTGACGCGAGAATTTCCGATTGAAAATTAGGGTGCTTTTTCGATATAAGTCAAAATAAGCTTAAAAAATAAATATTTTAAATCACTAAAATTACTATATGTTTGGGACATAAAAAGATAAGTTTTCACCAAATTTCGTGAAAAGATTTTTTTTTTGTAAAAGATAAAAATAAAAAACCAAAAACTTGGTTATTTGAATTTTTCAAATAAATTTTGAGGTTATGTGAAAAAAGTGTAAATACAAAAGTTGTAGATCTTTTTATTACCTACAACTTTGACATTTCACTTTTTTTCATAGGACTTGTAGTTTTGCCGGAAATCGAGATAAACCGTTTTTTACCCTTAAAAACTCACCCTGCCACTTCCCGACCTCAGATCGGCTGTAAATTATTTTTCCTTTCATTTCTGTTATATTCTCTTCCTTTTCCAATGGGTTTTATCCTACTATTATTATTTTTTCACCTTTTCAGCCCTGGTCTATATGTCGCCGCGGAGACTATTCGCCTGGT